TTTTTCAGATAATAGCAAACTTGGTTTAGTATTTTTCACCATTTCTCCATGGAGAACCAATTTATTTTAAAGAACGATTCTGAAAAAAGCTCTTTATGAAATTCTTTTGGAAAATGTCATTTTCTAAAAATATATTTTTAAAAAATTATTATTCAAATTATATTATTTATTCAAAATTTATTTATATTTGTGCCAACTAATAATTTAGTTTTTGGGATTACGGTTTGTTATGAGTCAAAACTTTTGTTAAGATTTAGAATTTTGGAAATTAATGTTTAAAAATGAACAACTCATGGTAATATTTTTAAAAATTGACACATCAAAAATGGTAATTGTACATTTATAATGGACAACCCAGAAAAATATGCCAGTAAAATTAAGAGACTTCCACTAATTAGTTTAGTACATACGATTTTGATTGAGAATTTATGAGATGCAACTTTTTAAAAATACTATCATTCTGAAATATTTTCAAGAATATCACTAATAATATATTATTATTTAAAATATTATTTATATTTGGATAACTATGTTATGAAAATGGATATAAAGCTTAAAAATTCTTAGGGTTTTTATAAAGTTAAGTATTTTAGAGTTTAAAACTTAAAAATTATTAATTGTGATAATTTTGAAAATGGATAACTCGAATTGACATTTTTGAAACTTCCTCTTTTTATCTTACATTCGCACGTCTTTTTATTAGTAAAAATAAAGGAATTTAGTTTTTTGGTATATTCTTATCTCTTTCAAATTCACAGGTTCAAAAAAGTTAGGATATTCTGAATGCATAGCTAAATAATTATTTTAATCTCGAAATTCATGACCGACATGGAATTTTTCAAAATGACAAGAAAAACAATGGGTCAATAACTGTGACAAAAAAAAAAACAATGGGTCATTGACTTACATTTTTTTCTGGTACAAAGCCTCACTCACTGAGTTGGACTAAGAAAAAGCCAATCAACAATCGTAAAAAATATCAAATTGATCAAAAATATCATTCAAATAGACAATTTTTTACACTATAAATACATCCACACAACCTCTTCATTTCTTCACACAACTCTCCCTAGCTCCTACACATTCCTCCAAAACAAAAAATGGCTAACCAAAGAGCGATTCTCAAAAACAGTCTCATCCTTTTCCTCTTCACCTTAACTATCGTGACAAAAACCGCGTTTTCACAAAACTGCGGTACAACCGGTTGCGCAGGCAACCTATGTTGCAGTAGATATGGCTATTGTGGCACCACACCAGCCTATTGTGGCACAGGATGCCGAAGCGGACCTTGCAGCTCTGGAACCACACCAGGTCCTAGCGGCGGTCTGAACGCTGATCCTCGTGATACCATTGGAAACGTTGTCACACCAGCATTTTTTGATGGTATCATGAGAAAAGTTGGAAGTGGTTGTCCAGCAAAAGGCTTCTATACTCGCCAGGCTTTCATCGCGGCCGCTCAATCGTTCCCGGCCTATCGAGGAACCGTTGCTAAGCGTGAAATCGCTGCTATGTTGGCTCAGTTCTCTCATGAGTCTGGAAGTAAGTTTTCGTTATAAGCCCTTTAGTTTCACTACATGAAGTGCATGCATCTTTTAATTAAGAAAAAATAGCAATTTCTTAGAAAATTATTTCAATTAGCACCATACACTACTGAGAAAATTATTTCAACTAGCACACATGTAATTTTAGTTAATTTCATTATCATTAAACTAATTATGTATTTTAAATTTTCAAACCCTAATACTAATGGATAAACTCAATATTTATGAAATTTCGTGGGTGAACAAGTGATATTTTGTGTATAGAATAAATATATTCTTAGTTTTCCTATTTTTTCGAAGTTATATATTAACTCATATTTTGAACTAAAAAACGAACCATTTGCGTTATATGTGAAGGTTTTTGTTACAAAGAAGAAATAGCGAGAGGAAAGTACTGCCAAGCGAGCACGGCCTATCCGTGTCAAGCAGGGAAGAACTACTATGGTCGCGGTCCGATCCAAATCACATGGAACTACAACTACGGTGCAGCTGGAAAGTTCCTAGGACTCCCTCTCTTGACTGATCCAGATATGGTGGCTCGTAGCCCTGAAGTGGCCTTTAAGTGCGCAATGTGGTTCTGGAACCAAAATGTTCGTCCAGTCCTGGACCAAGGCTTTGGAGCCACCACGAGGAGGATCAACGGTGGCGAATGTAACGGTCGTCGTCCTGCGGCAGTGCAAAGTAGAGTTGATCGTTACTTGGAGTTCTGTAGGACGTTTGGGATCACTCCTGGAGCAAATCTTAGTTGTTAAAGAAGTTAAATGTGGTTCATATATATGGCACGGTTCATGGTATGATCGTGGTCTTGCACGTGTCAGTTAATACCTAAAGTTGTCGAATAAAAGATAATGCGGAGTATCCTAATGTACCTATGTGTTGTTTGTATCGGTTGTCATGAAATAAATTATATATGAGCCAATCCATAATAAACGCATTTACTAGATTTCACTTCTCTTTTTTTTTTTTGTTAATGGTTAATCATATTGCAAGACTTTAAATTTTACCGAGGATTGTTGGTTTTTTTGGTTTGAGAGAATCCTATTGAGAGAAATTTTTACCATAAAAAAAAACACTCGTGAGAAATGAATGTAAGATTGGCGAAACATTATGAACAAAAGTGTGAACAAATGGTAAATTATGGTTATGCATAAGTTGGTTGATAGTAAATATATGAACAAAATGTTTTTTTTTTTTTTATATGAACAAAATGTTGAAGGGAGAATCAATAGAAAAAACTATTTGTCGATCGAGTGTTGTATATTGTCTGATGAGAAGTCTTTCGCCCATCATATGCATGTAGAGATTTTCTGAAAATTTACATGCATGGAATAATTTTTTGTAAAACTATTTTTTTTCCACATACCTAGGACCGAACGATATATAGCCTAAAAAAAATATTCATACTCGAATCAAAGAAGATGCTAACAACAAAACTAATTTTTTGTTTTTCAACCTGTTTTTCAATGTGTTGCAACTTGTAAGTGATTAAACCAAGGTGTATATCACATGTCGGATATTCCATATTTTATATTTTCAATTTGTATCGGATTTAGGAATCTATATAATTAGATGTCTTAAGAT